TCTTCTTCCATAGCAGCCATCCATAGAGGAGCTTCTGAACCACTCACGGCCTCTTGAAAAGTTGAAGGTTCTCCTTCTTCACTTAGGAGACAATACGCATCATGACTTGTCATCACATATTGTGAATGCCAAGATGGTCTGACTCTTTCTCTTGTTGATCGTCGGAGTTCTCCTTCTTCCACCTCATTTGGCTCATGTTCTTCATGCTCCTCCTCTGACTCAGAGGAATGTTCCGAAGTCTTCTTCTCTATCTGTACTATAGTCTTGTCCTTTTCCGAGTTGTCATTTATCTGCTTGCTTTGCAGTTCATTTTCTGCAAAGACGACATCTCTGCTAACAATAACTTTGTGGGCAGTGGGATCCCACAAGCGATACCCCTTCACATTGTCAGCATATCCCAAGAAGATGCATTTCCTGGATTTTGGATCCAACTTCGTCCTTTCTTGGGTGTTGTACATCACGTACGCGGGACAACCAAACACATGTAAGGAAGAATAATCGGTTGATTTTCCACTCCACATTTCCATAGGAGTTTTCAACCCAATTGCTGTTGATGGAGACCGATTTATCAAGTAACAGGCAGTATTCACGGCTTCTGCCCAGAAAGACTTTGTTATGCATGCAGTTTGCGGCATAGCTCCGGTTCTCTCTAGAAGAGTTCTATTCATCCGCTCTGCTACACCATTCTGCGAGGCGTGTGTGGAACAGAAAATTGTCTCACAATTCCTTCTTGCTTGCAGAATGCTAGAAAATCTCCATCTACATATTCTCCTCCATTGTCTGTCCTCAAACACTTGATTCTCCTTCCGGTCTCAAGTTCTACTTGTGCTTTGAAGTCTTTGAACCGCGCAAATACTTCAGACTTCTTCTTGATAGGGTATACCCATAATCTCCTCGAGTAGTCATCGATGAACGACACAAAATATTTTGCTCCTCCGAGAGATAATTCCGGTGATTCCCAGACATCAGAATGGATCAAGTCCAAAGTTTGCTTACTCCTTGTGGTGGTTCTTGCAAACTTCAACCTGTGTTGTTTGCTTGTCACACAATGCTCACAGAAGGGTAAATCGACCTTCTTGAGCCCAGGTATGAGATCACGTTCCGCAAGAATCTGCAGACCTCGCTCTGACATATGTCCAAGTCTACGGTGCCACGTTATCGCCGCTTCTTCTTGGCTTGTCGACGCAGTTGTTGCATGATTTTCTTGCAAGGTGTCTCCCATAAGCACATACAAGTTTGCCATGATTTTCTCTGCTTTCATGACAACTATGTTTCCCCTCACTACCTTTAAGATTCCTCCTTCAACATGGATCTTGCAGCCGAGGTCATCCAATTGCCCTATAGACAATATATTTTTCTTCAAGTCCTTCACATGTCGTACTTCTTGGATTGTGCGAATAGTACCGTCATACATTTTTAATTTGACAGTACCAACTCCAGCAATCTCCAATGCATGGTCATTTCCCATGAACACGGATCCACCTGAGATAGGCTTGTAGGTTTGAAACCAATCTCGGTGTGGGGTCATATGCCAAGTTGCACCTGAATCCATTATCCACTTGTCATGAAATTCGTTTCCGCCATTAGAGCGATTCTTCGCTTCGCTTACCAGAATTACTCCTTCCTCTGAAGTACTCGCAATGCAACCTTGTGAGGTTGATTCTTCATTCTTCCTCTTCCAACACTCTTTCTTCGTGTGCCCTTTCTTGCCACGAGTAGTAGCATTTAAATTTGAAAGTCTTCTTGTTTCGAGAGCTAGATCTGCCATGATCTTGACTCCCACTTGAACCACGTTCGCTGATCTTCCTCTCATCATCGTCAAAACTTCGCTTGTTTAGAACTTTCTACCTTATTCATTCGCTGGATTCTTCTTCTAGAATAGTTCGGCAACATCGTCAAAGTGTAGTTGTCCTTCAATATTATTATTTGTAATGTTGATGATGAGTTGATCATACGAGTCCGGCAAGCTCGAAGTAAGAGCTCCGCACGCTCATTCTCAACTATGTTGAAATTTGCTGCTGCTAATTGGGCAAACAAGGTGTTCAGTTGGTTGATGTGGTCCGTCACCGATGTGGACTCACTCATCCGAAGAGTATAGAGTTTCCTCTTCAGGAATATCCTTGTGTGAAGTGACTTCACCTCATATAATTTAATGAGGGCATCCCAAATCTCCTTTGCAAAATCTTTCTCCGCAACACTGGATAGAACTGAGTCTGTCATTGCCAAGTGTAAATTTGCAATAGCGTTGCCGTCAATTTTTTTCCAATCTTTATCCGTCATTTCTGCAGGTTTTCCCTCAATTGCTTCTGCGCAATTGTCCTTTCTCAAGATTGCCTTCATCTTCAATTTCCACAACGAGAAATTGTTCCCGTTGAACTTCTCTATCTCATACTTTGCTGCCATGGTTGTGTTTCCACTTATGCAACTTTCACTTATGAATAGTATTGTCTACTGGAACAATAGTAGTAGATCGTGAACCAGTACACCAAGTAGGTTCCCAGGAAAGAGAGGTGGGTCACTAATGGACACGCTTAAGTACCAAGTCTTTCCTAGCCAGAACTTTCCTCAATAGTACTTTCACACTACCACACCTTTTCCAGTAACAACTCCTTTCTGATGTGGAAGATCAGATTAAACTGCAACCACAGAGCATACTCAGAATTTTACCAACACTATTCTAGTGACGCGCAACGGAACTCGAACGCAGCTCTGATACCACTGTTAGGATCAGAGTACCAGCATAAATACACACAACTAAAATAGAGACGAGAAAAATAACCCTGACAATAGGCAAAAATGAAAATTTTATAATGACCACTCTTTCCTTTTACAATTGGAAATTACCAATACTAGGAAAGTAAAAGAGAAAGAAGGAGAAATATTTGGGATGTATGAAATAAGGGGGGAGGGGCTCCTTTTATAAGAAGGAGGAGAGCCCCCAATTGAAGTTCCCACGGATGTGGGACTTCTTCCTTCACAATATCTGTGCCCACCAAATTCACAAAAGAAATAATGAAGCTGTAGTTAATGACAGTATTGAAAAACAAATTAGTATAAAGATCGATGACAAGGAAAAAGAAAAATGTGTTTTTTTTTTATTTTTCTTTTCAAACTAAGAAACTTAATTATGTAACTTTTCAACTGATGTAGAGAAGAAAGATAAACACACGCAGAATGTTAGTATATACTTGTTATTTTGATTTCAGAAAATAAAATATAAGTAAAATGGATAATATTTTGTTGGAAAAATAAAAGAGGTTAATAGAAAAAATAACGTTTAATAAAAAATGAAGTTTGTGTGTGGGTTATTTTTGTAAAAAACATAAAGAAGGTGGTAGAAAGAGATGTGAATATATTATTGGTTCAGGGGCTGCAGAAAGGGTGGTGGAAAAGGTGTATGAAGAATTTTTGGTGGGAACTTTTGGGGTGAATAATTGAATTGAATCACCTGAACACGTGAGCAGAATGAGGTGTGGAAGAGCCAAAGCTGGACTCTGAACTTAAAAGTGAGGGAAAGCAAAGCAGCAGCATCAGCAGCAGCTATGGAGTTAGGCATTGTAAGCTAGTGCTTACCAGTAAAACCCATCACCACACTCTGTCTTTCAGTCTACCAACCCTTCTTTAGTGTGCCTGAAGATGGTTAGTGAAATCATATTTTAACTCAAAAAGTAATATTTTTATATTTATTTTATGAATAAGATTTTTCACATATTTATTCTCGTATTTCATTATTTGTTATTATAATATTATGATTAATTTTTATTTATTTTTATTTTATCTTAAAAACACTTAATGATTATTATGAAAAAAATTATATATACTATTCACTCCAAACGAAATATCTTTTATATATATTACTACAATTCTTATGTAAATAATCTTACATCCACGCTTTCATGGTATTTCAAATTCTTTATATATCCTTTAAACAAGTATGGATTTTTTTTTATAAATTAAAATATTGAAAGTAGGAGTTTAAAAAGAATAGATGCGAAATTTATGATAAAAATGTCAGGGTTTGGAAAAGAGAGTGATTGGTTGGTGCATTTAACAACAAAAGGAAAGCTACAAAACGGAAAGAGGGTGGCCAAACCCACCTTCTCTTCTTTCGTAAGATTCCGTTAATTTAAATTGATTTTATTGAGAGAAGAAAAAATGTTAGCAGTACTTTGCCTTGGAATTGGAGAGATCTTTCTTGATTACATAATTATTGAATACCCACCCACTTCGTTATCCAGAGGTTAATTCTAGTTACCCAATTTTAATTTGTCTAAATTTATTTCAAAATTATAATGATTTTACACACTTTACTTTATAGAAAATTAAAATTAATGTAATAATATCTTTTTCTTCCTTTTTATTATCTTTATCAGCTTCTTTCTTTTTACATTTTTTTTTTATCTTCCTTGCACCAAAGTGACAGCATGGCTTGGGGATGGTAAAAGACATTAATGAGCAGAACAAAAGTGAGCAAAGAAATAAAGCATTGCGACTTGGAAGGAGAAGGGTAGAATAGTGAATTGAAATAGTCATTGCTCTGCACTGCATGCACCTTCTTTCTGATTGGGTGCGCCATGAATGTCAGAACCCTTTCTCTGCATCACTAACACATACACGCACAACACAATGAAATAAATCACGAACACACCTACAACAAAGATACACTCACTCACGGGTTTGTCTTGAAAAACCCTTTTTTCACATTCCTAGACACTTATTCACAGTCACAGACAATTATTCTCTCACCAGATAACCAACCTACACACATTTATACACTTATATATAATACTTTTTTGTCACAGTTTTTGTTTTCCTTCAATTCATTTTAACTTTTAATTAAAAAATAATATCACTGAAAGTATTATGTGTATTTCTCTCTCCCCACCTTTATCTAGCGCCATTCATTTCCTTGCTCACCCTCACCCTCACACACACACACACTGTCTCTTTCTCTCTGATCTTCCTTCTGTCGCTTTTCTTTTTCTTCTCTTCTCTTGCCAATGGCTCTTCTACTTGACAACTGTGAGAGGATTTTGCTCTCTTTGGACACACACAAATCCGTTCCTGCACCTTTCCTTACCAAGACGTACCAACTTGTGGACGATCCCTCCACCGACCACATAGTCTCTTGGGGCGAAGACGACGCCACCTTCGTCGTTTGGAACCCCCCGGAGTTCGCCAGGGACCTTCTCCCCAACTACTTCAAACATAACAACTTCTCAAGCTTCGTTCGCCAACTCAACACCTATGTATGTGTGTGTACCCCCCCCCCCCTCTGTCTCTTCTTTTTCTTTGTCGTACTATCCAACACAACCCTCTTGGAAACAATATTCTTTTGTTCATCTACAATGCTCATACCCAAGTTAATATCTAATACCTTGTGTATCTCTCTCAAATTCTTTGACTTTAGTGATTTTCAGAACACCACTTGAAACTGAATATATAAGTCAGAAGACTTCTTTAAGTCCTTTTGGTATTTTTCCTAATCGATGACTTTTTAAAGGAAGGTTCTTTTCAACCAAGTTATTTTCTTCTCCCCGTAAAACTTCTTTTAAAAATACTATCTTTTTAATTGAAATTCTTTCTCAATAACTTGTCCAATAAAAATTTTCATTATAACCTATTAGAATGTAATTTTAACTGTGATTCAAAAACAAGAGATGGTATTTAAAGAACCATATAAGTTATGTATGATTCTAAACACATTTTTCAGCAAATATTCAAATTTAACTTTGGTTTAGCAGATGGAGACTGGCCTTTTCTATTACACTTGGGTCTAGTTTTACACAACATTTTTTCATCTCCAGGTTAATTAACTTAGTTTCACATTTTTTTTGAAATAGGGTTTCAGAAAGATTGTGCCTGATAGATGGGAGTTCGCGAATGAGTTCTTCAAGAAAGGAGAGAAGCACTTGCTGTGCGAGATCCACAGAAGGAAAACCCATCAGCAGCATCAGCATCAGCATCAAGTACAAGACATGAACTATCATAACCATCATCAGTTTGGACTCAATGTTCCCCCTTTCTTTCCCTTCCACAACAGACTCAGCGTGTCCCCTCCCCGTGACTCGGACGATTTAGCCAATTGGTGTGACTCACCCCCAAGAGGACTTGCAATTGGAAACTGTATCAACAACAACAACAACTTCATCAGCACCAACAACAACACTGTCACTGCACTTTCTGAGGACAACGAAAGGCTGAGGAGAAGCAACAACATGCTCATGTCAGAGCTCGCACACATGAAGAAGCTTTACAACGACATCATCTACTTTGTTCAGAACCATGTCAAACCTGTGGCTCCAAGCAGCACTTACCCTTCTCTTCTACTATGCAGTAACAGCAACAACACATCACCAATACCCTCTCACATAAATAACGTTCCAACCGTTCAAAGACCGGTGAAGCAGTTTGTGGGGTGTTATTCCAACAACACTAAACAAGCGCGTGCTGCGAACTCTCCTACTAACAGCTCCATCACCATTGTTGAAGAAGAACCTAGCAGTAACAGCTGCAAGACCAAGCTTTTCGGAGTCTCTCTTCAATCCAAGAAAAGGGTGCACCCCGAGCACGGATCTAACAATCTTCATAGTTCAGAAACAAATAAGGCACGTTTGGTAGTGGAAAATGATGAATTTTTTGGCTTGAATCTCATGCCCCCTTCAACTTGTTAGTTATAGTATTCCCAAAATTCTTAACTTTAGAAGAATCTTGCTATTTTCTCTTAATTGCTTCATATATATGTATAAATATGTATAATTTTTTCTTTAACCTCTTGGTCTGTAAGTTTTGAAGAAGGGAAATGATGTTGATGGAAAACCCCCGTGTGTGTGTGTTGGTGATCCTGTCTACATATAACTCAGTTCCGAAGAGATAGATATATATTGTATAGTTGTGAAATATTGTGCATCGATCTTCTCGGTCAACATTTTCATGATAAACAAGAATGATTGTTGGAGATAAAAAGAACATCAATGAAGTATAGATAATTGGTTATCCTCTATATAATGTTGCAACTTATTGGGATAATTGGAATTTTTGTCTTTCCTCTGATGATATTCTTCTTTTCCTGACGATGGTATGTACATATTCAGTTACATTAATGAGATAGAGGGAGTTAATGTAAAGGGTGTGCTTACAATTTGCTTGGGAAAAAAAGCTGAGGACTGAGAATGTTACAGGCTGGCGGAAGTAAAAGACATGATATTTTTTTTCTCTAGGGCTTTCTTGACCAAGCCCCTTTAATGGCCTCCATGTACGAAGTGAGCAACACGAAACACTTTGCATCGTAATTCAAAGACTGATGAAGTGACGGGTGATGTTACAAAGATCCATCGTTATACTATTATTATTATTATTATTATTATTAAGGACGTGACAGCAAATGACAAAAGTAATATTCATAAATATTCCCATTAGTAGGAGGATTTGTGATGCTATGATTGTTTTGTCGTTATTAATTTATACATTAGAGACTAATTTATTAATAGTTTAATCTCCCCTTTCAAAAAGTATTACTATGTTTGTTTGTAGAGAGAGAAAAATAGGTTAAATATAAAAATAAGTTGTTAGTGTAATATATTGTTGTTAAAGAATAATATTTGAATTGTTTGAATATTAAAAATTTTATTATATATTTTTTGTTTTTGGCATATTATATTATTATTATTATTATTATGTTTTTACCAGTTAAATTATAATTTAACAATCAAAATTTAACCATAAAATTTTGATCTCGATTAATCTAGTTTTGAAAACATAGAGTTACAGCCATCATCTTTCATGTCTTCAACCAACTGCACCCAAAAATAATCTTCATTTACATGATTATAAAATATAAGTCTAATTTGTATTATCTAAATCAAGAGTGTATGTCTTTTTCTCAACTTTTTTTTTTAAATAAATACAAAAAATTATACTAAAAAAGGTAACACACCTTTTAATCATTTTATACGTGTATCTCTTACTAGAATTGTTAGAACTAAAATATATTTTACCTTTGTTCACATCACATGCACACATTTAAAATTTATACATTTATTTATAAAACTCTCAAGTTTAAAAATAATAAATTACGTATAATATTTTTTTTAAAGAAATAATGTAAAGATTGAGTTTATTAGTTCAAGATCGAAATAATTTAATTTGATAAAGAATGAAATTTTTATTATTTAAGTTAAAAGATATGTAAATACAAAAAATATTATTCTATCTTTATTTGATATAAATATATATATTTTTAAAACGTATATTTTCTACTTTCTCTTAGAAATAGGAAGAGTTTGTTTTTCTTCCGAGGAAAAATTAGTACTTATTAGTCGATTTTTCAAGTCAAATTTGAGTTTGTGTATAATTTCTTTTTTTAGTTTTAATTGAATAATTATATTTAAAGGTAAGAAAAATTAGTTCTAATTTCTCAATACATTAGGGTAAAAGACCTAAATTTAGTATTAAAGTGGCTTGGGAAGTGATATTGAGAATGTGTAATCTGGGAAGATATTGAATATGAATTATGTAGTAGTCATTGAATATGAGTTTAGTATAAAGGAATTTAGAGATACATGTTTGTTGTTTCAATTGAAATTAGTGAAATTGTGAATTTAATATATACAACAATATGATAATTTTTTTTATATTTATTTTGTGTTGTGTGAACTTTTAGAAAATTAGAGTAAAATAAATTTTGAATAAGTAAAAGAACTACCTGGAGTGAGTAAAAATGATTAAAAAATATTTTAAATTATATTGAAAATAAGTATGAGATTTTTAGAAATTATTGATTCTACCTATTTGTTGTTTAATAAAAAAATAATCATAAATTAAGACTCTATTTTATAAGGTTTTTTTACAAAATATTTTTATTAATTAATTTTGTTTAAAAGTGAGATATTTATTATAGTTTAAATATACTTATAAGTGTATGAATTGAACATGTGTAGGTGGACGAAGAGAGTGATCTTGTGAATAAAATCTATATGATAAGTTTTGATGGTATGGTATATTATGATATGATATGAGAATTGTGATTACTAAGAAGGTGATGCGCATTATGTTCATTAATAACAAATAAGTATAAATAATTTATCCAATCATAATATTCGACAACAATTATTTGAAATATAAAACAAAAATATGTAAGGACATAAATATTATTAATATTTGCATTACATGTCTAAATATTTAAAAAAAGTTACATGAATTCATATACACATTGTCTTTACATTCTATATCATAATAAACCAATCATGTATAACAAATATTTGTCCTACTTCTAGAAGACTTACATGAATTGAATTAGACTAAGAAATCTACACATGTCACATTAACTTCTCTTATTGGATAGATATATAATTGAAAAATATTCTCTTATAACTTAATAGACTCAGTTCTCTTGCACAATTAAATTTATGTCATAGAAACCCCATTCAAATCCCAATACTTGATATTTTTTTCTATTTTAGTCTAATATGAATAGATTTAGAACATCTCCTCCCAAATCCCAAATTCAATATATCTTTTACATCTCAACAAAGTGTTATGCGTCGAAATCACTGTGTTTTACTTTTACAATACATCACATTATCTCAAAATTATTAATATTTACACTTACCTACACCTTAAAATGTTTTCTACAATTCACCTATCAAGTTATAGGAAATAACAATTAAGGGAAATATAAGCAATTTTTTGCATTTAAACTCATTTAAAAACATATTAACTAAAATATTAAAATAATGTCTTTGCTTAGCGACCAAATTGCTTACTCAACGAATTAGGTACATGTTCAAATTCCGTTCAGTTATAGTTTTACACACTTAGTTAAATCACCATGAACTAATTTTTTGCTTTAACAAAAAATAAAATGAAACCAAACTTATTTTTCGCTTTAGAAATCTCGTTTGAGTGAGAACTGTCTCGTTTGAATAAAAATATTGTCATTTGAATGAAAACATTATTGCTTGAGCGAAGATAAGGTCGAAACAATCATTTCTTTTTTGGGAACATTTTGTATGAATGATAAATATCACACTTGAACAAAAATGAAGATGAGACCATCCCTATTAAATTAGAGGCCTTGTCTCTCATACAAAGTACCTCACATGAGTGAGAATTAGTAGATAACAATCACTGTTTTATTTCTCAAATAGTCTTCGACCCTAAATTAAACCAACTACTCATTCCTATATACATCTAGTGACCAAGTCACTACCACACATTCAAACAATCCATCCTAATACACTAAAGAGTCAAGTTACTAGCTTTCCTTGCCTCTCTTCTTAGTGAAAATCTTTCCAAAATTCCAAATCTAATCTAGATCCATATGACCTCAAAATTTGAACTCTAAAAGGACCTAAGTCCCTAAATCAAACATAAACACAAATATCCTAGGTTAGTAAAAATGTTTCTTTACTCGAAAATCGACAAATACAAGTAAATTCTAAGGTACATGTTACTCTTATCCCCATATTCAACCCACCCTAAGAAAGAGGTAAGGAGAAACTTACTCTATTTAGGATTCTAACTTGATGAAAATATTTCCTCTTTGATAAAAACATAATAATATGTTTGGATTTAAGAAAATATGAGAATTTTTTTACAAAAAGTGATCTAAAGTTTAGAAACATAATGATTCTATAAAAATAAAGTTTAAATAGTAATTTTTTAATTTAAACAATTTTTAATTGAAGGGTAAAATTTTCAAATTTTACTTTATTTAACTCTAATATTTTTAAACTAGAAATCTTGGTCGTTACATATCATATTAAATTGTATTAGATGATAGGACAACTTTGATGATCAGTAAAAAACTCTGTGTAACAAATGTAGATCTACAAAACATGATTTTCTAAAATTTGTTGAGTGTCTATATATTATGAATGAGCTTGGAATGATGCGTACCATGTATATGAAGTAGCATTTTTGTAACCACCAGATTAAGTGTAATTACTTTAGTTATTGATGATGTTTGTGTGTGGGATTTAGTGATTATTTTGAAAAAATATACTGACATGACTTATTTTTTAATATTAGCTTATTGTATGTATGTTTGAAATTATGACAATCATGTGTCTGAGGGAGAAAATAAAACAAAACTAAATATTAAAAAAATTCAAATTAATATATATATATTAATTATCATATAAAAATAAAAGGTGAAAATGTAAAATCCTGTTATAGAATCGTTATTATTTTTAAATAATGAAAAAGAAAATATAATAATAGAGTGAAAAAAAACTTCTAAAATTTGAGTTTAATTTATTTTTTAAGAAAGGAGGAAAAAATTGGATCACTAAATACTCTATATACATATATAATAATAAATAAGAATTAAAATATTGGGAGGCCTATAACATTCCATGTCCCCGTTGATTTATATATATATATATATATATATATATATATATATATATATATTATTTCTTAAATACTAATTTTGTCTCATAATTATCCTCCTGACCTTTATTTAAAAGATATTATAACTTCTACAAACTTCTACCAATGAGATATATAATCTCGAAAATTTAAGAATGCTATAAAAAAATATCAAAATTGCTAAAATAAATACTTAATATTTAGTCATTTGTAATTTTTTTCAAGAATCCATAATTCTACAAACAGTTAATTTAGAATATATAGATTATTCTTTTAAAGCTAGACAAAAGTGTTAGTTTTT